AGAATATATGAAGAACTAAAAAAACATTAGGGCCTCAAAATTTAAAGACTCAATCCAGAAATGGGCATCAGAGATGAACACATACTTCTCAGAGGATGAAATTAAAGAGTGAATAAATGTATGAAAAAATACTCCACATCACTAGCCACCCATGAAATGCAAATTAAAACAACACTGAGATACCATCTCACCCCAGAAAGAATGACTATCATAAACAAATCAACTAACAACAAATGTTGGAGAGGCTATGGGGGAAAAGGAACCCTTCTCCACTGCTGGTGGGAATGTAGACTGGTGCAACCATTATGGAAATCAGTGTGGAGACTCCTTAAAAAACTAGGACTGGAAATTCTATTCAAACCAGCTATACCCCTACTGAAAATTTTCCTGGAGAAACTGAAAACATCCTATCATAGTGGTAGAATTGTTTATGGTAAAAATATAACTTGGTTTGGCCTTGTAATGGTTTTCTTAAAATTCTTGTTAGAGCCCAATGAATGATGTCTTGTCCACAGGTAGCCCTTTGAAATCACTGTCTATTGAGGAGTTACAGTGTTCCAGCACTGGGCAGTGATAAAAATATATCAGCATGTGTACACATAATGGAATAAAGAGGTTTGAGGACATCTTCCTGGACTGCTGACATTAAGTTGCATTTTAAATTGCTTAGCCAGATGAAATCCATGTGTGGGAAAGACATTTGAGGAAAAGAAAGTGAAGCAGGATAGAAATAGAAATGTGGCGCATAGTACTAACATAACGGAAAGCAGTGACACAATAGAGCTGTGAGAGAAGATGGACCTGGAGTAGAATAGTGAGAATCAAGAAGGTAGTGTGAGCTCTAGACATACCAGTGATCTCTAGAGAGTACTGAAGCAAGTTAGGCAAGAAAGGGAGGAGGAATTCTAGTGGAAATAAAAGAGAGGGCAGATCTGAGAAAGAACTTAAGTGTAGACAGCCTGATACTGGAGATTGTGTGGGGAACATGGAAGAAGCAAGGTGAATTGCAGAAGGAAAAGTCATGGTCAGGTTCATGTTGTGCACATGGAGACTAGACTGTCTATAGGACACACGGGAAGTATGGAAAGGAAATAGACTTGGGAGTCATCCTCTCATGAGTGAAAGCTATTGTAGAAGATTAAATTGTCCTCAGAGACCCTTACAGTGCCAGGACTCAGAAAACTGATGGTGGTTCTGGGAGTGCCAGAGGAAGCAGCTGAAGAATAGAATCAGCTGCCTCAGGCAGGGTAAAGACCCCCAGCCAGTACGACACCGGCAACAACCACAAACAGGAAGTGTGTCCTTTCTCCAACCATCCATCTCCAGCCATCCAGTCTCATTGGCAGAATGGGCAGGAAACCAGCTAGCAAAATGAAAATGCTATGTTTCAGCTCCAGTGGGATAGAACAGAGTATCAAAAAGTACTATTGGGAACAAGACACAAGAGCTCAGTAGGTGAGCCCTCAGTAATAAGGACTTAATAGCATTCACCATTTCTGTGACATTGAGATGTCAGTGGGGTGAGAAGCTGTCCCAGGGTGAAAAGTTGAAGGAGTGGAAGCTTCTTAGTCTTGGAAAAAGAGAGTATTTAAGGGCAGGGAAAGGGGTAGCACAGAGGAGACCTGTCCATATGTGTAAGGGACTGTGATAGAAGAGTGAGTTTGCATTTGTTCAAATTAGGTAAGCAAGTGAAACTGACGAAAAATAAAAACACTGTGATGACTACAGCAATGTTCTCTCCTGAAATGACTTCCTTTAGAGACATGTTCAAAAGACGCTGGCAACCGCATGGTGCCCATGAGAACATGAACTTGGCAAGGTAAGAAAAAATTTCACCACTGTAGTCCTACCACAGGGAGTAGTGTGCAGCATGTAATGTGCACATCTCTATTTGTTAAGTCAACTATATTAGAAAATAAATGAATCAATTTAAATTCCAAAAATGTTTATCTAGTAGATTGTTTTGGTTTTGGTGGTGGTGATGGTGGTACTAAGGATTGGTTGAATTTTTTGTTTTGTTTTGTTGTTTTTGGGACAGGGACTACAGAGTCTCACTGTGTGGATTGAACTTGTAGTGATCCTCGTGTTTACAGCCTCCCTTCCCAAGTGCTGGCATTACAGGCAGGCACCACCATGCCCAGTCTCAATCATGGTCTCAGCTTGCCCCAGGGACAGGGACTGCACAGCTGCCCAAGTAGGCCCTTTAATCCACTGAGCTATTTGGCTGGCCCCTTGAGGTTTATTTTTGTTTTTGGTGCCAAGGACTGAACCCAGGGCTTCCAGTTTGCTAGGCAAGCATTATACTGCTGAGCCAAACCACCAGCCCCTTGTACTAAGGATTGATGCAGGGCCCTCCCACTGTCCTTTTTCATTTTTTATGTTAAGGCAAAGTCTGCCTAATTTCCCCAGGTTGGGCTCAAACTTGTAATCCTTCTGCCTCAACTCCCAGACTCCTGGGGTTATGGATGTATGCCACCACAGCCAGCTTTTAAGTTTTTTTTTTTGTTGTTGTTGTTGTTGCTTGTTTCTTTGTTTTTCACCAGGGATCAAACTCAGGACCTTGCACTTGTAGGGTGTTTATGCCTTTAAGCTACATCCCTGGCCCTTAGTAACCTTTTAAAAGCAGATCATTATTAGCCAATGCTTCTGCCTATCTTTGTAATGACCCTAAGGCAAGGCCTGATTCTGACAGGCAGGCTTTCTGAATCATCATACTAAATTACTTTTACTTTAAAATGCTAATTATATTTTGTTATATATTAATTCTTTTTAAAGTAGCAACTATTTACATAGCTGTAAATCTTGATTAATCATAAGGCCTAGTGCCTCATCTTAGCCTCTAATAGCCTATAATGCTAGCAAATTAGAATTTTTCACCAGGAAATTTAAATAAGTTCTTTCTGAGGTAAAAAAAGAGTGAAGTAGTCCAAGGGTATTTCCTTTCCTCACTCTGCTCCTGTTTATTGCCTCTTGAACTACTACTGGTATCTTCACAAAATGTAACAATCTAGCCTATGGTGGACAACATTCTAGAGTGGTAGGGACCACAAATTCACAAAGGCTAATTTTGCATGTGGTTTGGGATTATCAGTATCACCTTTTTTTTTTTTTATTTAAAAAGCAGAGGTTTTTTTTTTTTTTTTTTAACATTTATTTATTTATTGTGTGTGTGTGTGTGTCCAGCTCAGCCCACCAGGGGGCGGGGCTGGCTGGCATGTGGTGCTGGGGATTGCACCGCAGTCCCTGTGCTTTGTTTTAGCTTCGCTTGTTCTAAGTAGGTGCTTTAGACCACTGAGCCATCTCACCAGCCCCAGTATCACCCTTTTGAGATTTCCCATAGAGTGAAAACACACCAGGGCAAGGTCCCTCTTAGCATAAGATCATCTCCACGCTCTTGAGTCATCCCAGGGTTGTCTATTGTTGCTGCTGCCCTCTGAGTCTTCTGCCTACCTAGAATTTTCCCCTACCCCCTCCCATCACTGTACACACCCAATGAACAGTGGCTGGCTTGGGGTGTGTGTCCATCTTGAGGCATGAACCTCCTAGCCTCCCATTACTTATTTCATCCTTTTGCCCTACCAGTCATACAGGCAGCTGGGGGTCTTTGCCAGGTCCCCAATGCTAGAACTCCTCCCAAAGAAAGGCTGGAATGGAGGCATTAGCCACAAGAGAGAGAGGCTACTACGAAAACACTACCGTCCTAAAGCCAGGTAGGTGGTTGCACACCTATAATCCCAGCACTTGGGAGGCTGAGGCAGGAGGATAGCTGTTAGGGTTTTTGGGTGACACAGTGAAGAGATAGGAAAGATGAAAGAAGCTTTTATTAACTCCAAAGATTCAGAGAAGATTTTCTTTTTCTTTTGGTGGAACCAGGGATTGAACTCAAGCCTTTGCACTTGCCAGGGAAGCACTTATTCTACTGAGCCATCTCCCCAGCCCCAAATGGGGGCATCGGAGAGGATCTTGGGCTGATGGGGCAGATAGAACCTCTGACCTGAACAAAGAAAGCTGAGGCTTTTATGGACTTTCATTAGATGTAGAGTTTGAGGGGGACATTTAGAAATACCTGAGGAGCTGATTGTGGTCTTCACTGTAGCAGTGGAAAAGGTGAAAGGAAACTGTACCCTGGGAAGGGTTGGAGAAGAAGGGGGTAAGGTGGTCTCTTGAGAAGATAAGCTGTTGTTTTAAGGACTTCAGCCATGTTAGATGACCACTATAATCATTCAGCAACTCATACTAGGGCCAGAATCTATCAGTAGCCTTGAGCTCGAGGCCAGCCTGGGCTACATAGTGAGTTCAAGGCCAGCCTGAACTACATAGTAAGACCTTGTCTCAAAAACCAAACATCAAAATGTAGCTTCCTAGCAATGTACAGCTTGGACATGGTGGGCAGGCTCAAAACCCCGTGGCCTTGGGTTTACTCACTGGCAAGGGCAAGGCCACGGCTCTCAGAGTCACCATTACATCCCACTTCCCTAGCCCAGTGGATGTATTCTACTGGGAACTCAAGAACTATTTGTTAGATGACTGGATAAATCGAGGAGAATCAGTCGTGGGGAGCAAATGAGATATTTTTTGGATATGTTTCCTTTAAAGGCAATGAGGGAAGTGAAGCTACATTACTGATCCATATCAGAAAATACTGGTGGGAATGAATGAGATACTGAAGAGTCTCTAATTAGTCTGGGCTGGGCAGCTGGCCAGTGGGACTTGATCAGATGGGGCTGGACCCAGATAGAAGAACCTGTAGCCTGTGGAGAGACTGGGAACTTCAGGTCTGGGTGAAGGGAAGTCAGCTTCGGGCTTTTTAAGATTAGCAGCCATGCAGTAAGACCTGAAAACGACATTTACTATAGGGGTGCATGAGGGGGTAAAGGTAGTTCATACCACAGATTCGTTTTATTCCATTAAAGTGAAATTTCTACAGATGAGTTCAGTCAGTGGTTTTCAGATAGGATAGTTTTACCCCTCAGGAGATATCTGTTAGTATATGGAGATAGTTTTGGTGACCACAACTAGGATTCGGGGGTGCTACTGGCATCTGTCAGGGAGAGCCTAGGACGCTGGTAACTCCTACGAGGCACTGCACAGTCCGCATCTTGAAGAACCATCTCAGGAGCCCAGGAAATAAAACTGGATTCACAACTGCCCTTTCCTTGGGTTCAGCCCTCTGTGCCTGTCACTTCTGTTATCACTCCAGGATCACAGGCTTGACACAGGTTATACCCAGGTAGGCTTCAGCTGTGAGCACAGAGGGCTCACTTTCTCTAGAAGATGCTGTGGTACCAGCATTTGCACTACTGTGACTTTGAGGGTCACCTCAGAATAGGGTGAGGGAGCTGTTATAGCATGTAGCCGTGCCTTTCCAATGGCTCTGCTCTCTGGCACCTGGCACCTTCTCCTTACCCTGAGCACTTCTCAGGTCCAGACAGTGCTGGGAATGGCTGTTGTCAGGCAATGAAGGTAGGCAGAGCTACCTATAATCTCTTAGGGGAGCAGAGAGTACTCTGTCCCTTTCTGTGTCATCTCAGGTCCCACAAAGAACAGTCCTTGGGGGTAGAATGAGATGGAGGCAACACTGGTGAAGATGGCAGGGTAAGGCTCAGAAGCAGTGGGAATTGGACCTCTTTCACAGGGCCTCTGTTGGTCAGTTCTAAGACATATGCATCGAACCATCTCCCACTCAGAAGAGCCCATGTGGAGGGAGCTGGGCTCCTGCCTGCTTAGCCCTGGTCCTCCTGATGACTGATTGTGACATTGATCATGGACTTCACAGGGGCCTTTCTAGGAACCATGGACAACCTCTCTTTCCTTCCCAGAAAGCTAGAAAACTATTAAAGCCTGTTATGGTTTGTGTCTAGGTGTTCCCCCAAAGCCTCATGCAGTCTTGGGGCAGCTTCAGGAGTTTGTGATTGATTTCTATGGGAGTGGATGCTGCACCAGCCCTGGGGCAGGTATTTTGCATTACAGTGTAAGGAGGGAAGAGAAGCTAGCTGCTTGAGCTGCTGCTACTCCTTTTTTTGTGCACTTGCTCTTTGCCGCAGCCATGAAAGGTTGCCCTCTGCCATGTGCCGCTCTGCCTTGGAGCCAGCTGAGTATGGACTGAAACCTCCAGTAACTGTGAGCTAAATAAACCTTTCCTTCCTTCATTTTGAGTGTCGGGTATTTGTCCCAGCAACGAGAGAAGAGTAACTAAGACAAAGCCCAAGGCCCTGTGTAAGGAAATGTGAAAGTGCAAGATGGTGGCACTTTGGTTCAGGCTGTGAAGGAAGGAGATCTGTGAGGCAGTGGGTTCTGTGAGGGCAGAGATCTGGTGCAGGGCATCTCCTGATGCCCTAATGTGAATAAGTTCTGTAGCTGGGGTCAATGCTTGCCAGGGTGAATAACTGATGTAACCAAGATCATCACTGGCACATGGCCACCACTGTGCACTTTGGTATAAATGTAGACTTCCATGAGGGCTGCATGTATATGGAATATGTGGCCAAGGACTGCTGTGGTGTACACAGTGGCTGGGGCCATGAGAGTGGCTAAACAGAAGGACTATGGCTAAGCAGCTGAATACAAGATGTTTCACCCAGTCCATGGCTCTGTGTCTCTGCTCCGGCCTCCTCAAGTGTCAAGTAGGGGGCTTGCAAGTTAGCTCATTTGGGGCCTTGTGGGTTAGTTCAGTTGTTTGAAGCACCTGCTTGGGCAAACTCAGTCAGGCACAGAAGCCCCCAGTTCAATCCCCAGCTCTACTTGCCTCTTCAGAAATGCCCTAAAGGCAGCCTGAGCCAGCCAAAAAAAAAAAAGAATTCTCAAGTGTCAAGTAAATCTTTCCCAGCCTGAACTGGTGACAGGCTGCTTTCTTGACTTATCAAGCCCCAGATCTGCCAGTAAAAACTGATAGGGCATCTTCCCAAAGGGACCCATCACCTCCCAGGTGCCAGGTTGGCCCCAGGTTTATAGAGTTGTTTTTTAGTCTCCAACTGGCTTGAACTTGCTCTTTCTCCTTCTTCTTGGATTTTAGTGACCTTTCTTGGGCCCCTTTTTTCTAGGCTCCTTAAATTAACCCCTGTTCTCAGTGCTGTGAGTCCTAGCAGAATCAGAAGAGCCCCCAAAGTGACTTCTCTACAAGAAAACTTTAAAAAAGGTCAAAAGAGTTGAGAGGGCCCACCAAGAGTTGACATGCCTCATTCATACCTGAGATAGTCTTTGTACTGTCTAATACAACATTTAGATATATGGCTATTTAAATTTAATATGTGGGGCTGGTGAGATGGCTCAGTGGGCTGGTGAGATGGCTCAGTGGTCTAAAGCACCCACTTAGAACAAGCTAAGCTAAGCAAAACACAGGGACCATGGTTCAATCCCCAGCACCACATGCCAGCCAGCCCCGCCCCCTGGTGGGCTGAGCTGGTCACACACACACAAAATAAATAAATAAATAAATAATTAAAAAAAAAAAAGAAAAAGCTAAGCAAAGCACAGGGACCGCGGTTCAATCCCCCAGCACCACATGCCAGCCAGCCCCGCCCCCTGGTGGGCTGAGCTGGTCACACACACACAAAATAAATAAATAAATAAATAAATAAATAAATAAATAAATAAAATAAAATAAAAATAAAAAGGGGGCCTGGCCCTAGCTCAGTTCTTTAAGTGGCTGCTTCCACAAAGCCGTCAGCCTCAGGTTGCTGTAGTTCGATCCCCACAACACTTCAGCCAGCCAAACCTGCCCTGAAGGCATTCCGAACAACAACAACAAAAAAAATTGTAGGCAGTGACATTGGGCTGCATGATTCTCTTCTCACAGGAGTGTTCCCTGGACCCTAAGGAGAAGCAGAGGCATTTTACTGTCAGAACTGGGGCAGGGGATGTTGGTGGTCAGGAATTCCCATTAGTCCTGGGTCACCAACTTGCCTGAGGGGCAAGCTGGGTCCCGAAGACCCCCTTGGCCTGAAGGAGACCCCACTAAACTTGGCCTTGTCCCTAGAGATGTAAGTATTGAGGGTCCTTTGCACACAAGTCCTGTAGCAATTGGGATCAGTTACTAAGCAGAATGCTCCCAGGGAGCTGAGGGTAGCAGAGGACGGGAAGGAAGGAGAGGAGGAAGAGGGAGAGCTTTGGGACCATGAAGAATGTGGTGGGGGCCTGTGGATCCATGAGGAGAAATGGGGTCTTCCTGTAGTCCCTCCTGGGTCGCAGTCCCCTTACGGGTTATTTGGAGGAGTTGGATCTCACCCATGAGTTGGATCTCAGGATGCTGAGGCTGCTTGATGAGGAAAGGGGGAAGCCTGGGTGCCCCCTTTGGCTTGCTAGCCCACAAGCCAATCATCTCTAGGGACTCCCCACAGAGATGCCAGGAGCATCAGACCCAGTTGCCAGATCCCAGTGACCTCACACAGCCCTTCCTAGGTCACCTTATCAGACTCTCCCAAAGCTGTTCACTGGTGTCTTATCACTATGTATTTTTTTCAGTTTGGCAGTTTCTTGCTATATTTACACCTGTCACTAACCCCACAGTCCTACCCATGAGATAAACGTCTACCAAAATGCTTTTGTGCAAGTGATTTTACGCATTTCATTTGCAGTCCTTCAAAGTGGAAGCACCTAGGTCTCTGTCAGCTGATGAATGCAATATCAATTATTCCCACCAGGAATACTACAGCTAGAGACATACAGAACAGGGATGCACTCCAAAAGCCTCCTGAGTGAAAGAAGATTCTGAATAACGCAAACGATAGGGAAGGGACTCACAAACGCCCTGGAAAGCGCTAAGAGTAGGGGAACGAGCAGCACAATAGGATTTTTGAGTATACTATAATTTATTAAGATGAGAAAAAAAGTAAGATTTGTTATTTATATGTACCAACTTTCCACCATGAATATAATCATTATGGACTGCAAATATGTGCTAACGAAAATAAAAATAAATATGAAAAAGTCTATATTTGGCTGTGAAGGTGGTGATAGAGTGGAATGTGTTTGTCAAAGGCACGGAACAGAGACCCAGTCCTAGCCCAGGTCCGGTGAGTGTATGGAGAGCTTCCTGCTAACCTGCGCCGGCGGGACCAGTCCCAGCCCAGGTACAGCGTGGGCCGGACCCTCTCCCACCCCCTCGGGCCGCCCCCCACCACTCCGCCGTACCTCCCCACCCCTCCCGCCAAGTAGGAATTTCTGCCGACTTCTGGGAAGGCCCAGACCCAGTCCTAGCCCTGGTCCGCAGCGGGAAGGAGCTGAGCACAGCAGCCAGACCTAAGCCAGACATAGCTGGATAAGTCCAAACTCTGTAGAGCTCCACCTGAACTTCAGTATGTGTGAAGGTTATAACTACAGCAAAGATCTACAACAAAGGGCAGAAAACAGTGCTACACAAAATGACGAGAAGGAACAAAACGTAACCTCAGAACCCAAGCCCACCCGTAACAAGTGCAGAGGACACTCACACAGAACAAACTGGAAATCACACAGCTGAAAGCAATGAATCAAATGCTTCTGAAATAAAACAGCTGCAGAAAGATATAGAAGACCTCAGATTGGAAATGAAAAAAGAAATCCCTGAATTAATAACATCTGCACTAAAGAATCAAATGCAGAAACATATGGAAGCAACCCAGTGCCCACCCAGAACAAGTGCAGAGGACACTAGCTCGGCTCAAATGCATGAATCAAGAGCGTCGATAGTAAATAAGCAACAGCAGAAAGATAGAGAGGAAATCAGAGCACAACTCTTTTCTGAAATAAAAAAAGAACTCTCAGAACTCGTAGCAGATGAAGTAAAGAAGCAGCTACAGAAACATAAGCAGGAAACCCAATCTGAGAAAAACACTGCAGTAAAAGAATTTCTAACTGCTTCTAAGGAAGATATTGATAAAAAAAAATAGAGGAGATTGGAAAAATGACGGATTCCTTGAATGAGCAATACAGGAAAGAAATAGATCGCATGAAGCAGAGTCAAAGATATATAGAGGAAATGAAACTCTCAATCACAAGCTTGCAAAACCGTTTAAGTGAATGTGAAGACAGAGTTTCAGATCTTGAAGATGCTGGTGTAGCTAGTGAAAAGGTAAGAAAGGGTCTCTTAAAAACAACGAGGATGCAGGAAAGAATAATCCATCACCTGCAAGATGATGCAAAGATGAACAATGTGAGACTAATAGGCATCAACGAGAAAGAAGGAGTCAACACAAAGGACATTTAAAAAATATGGGCAGAAGTAATAGCAGAAAACTTCCCAAATATGAGGAAACAACCTGACATTGAGATAACTGAAGCATACAGAACGCCAAAGAACCTCAACCCAATGAAAAACACACCGAGACATATAATAGTCAAGATCCCAGAAATTCAGCACAAGAATAATTTACTGAAAGCCGCTAGAGAAAAGGCAGGGAACAGCACCCCTGAGACATGCACGCCTGAGAGGCGCTCGCTGCAACCTGGAGCCCCGCCGTCGCCTAGGAGACGAGCGCCCCGCCCTCGACCGGCCTCCCCAGGCCCCGCCCCTTGCTCGCGAGCGGCGCTAATTGGCGGATCCAAAGGGCGCCTGGAGGGAGCATCTGGGAGTTGCAGCCGGCATTTCCCGAATGCTGCGCGCTACCTGTCCAGTCTGGTGTCCCCTTCTGGCACCTCTACCCAGTCCTCACACTGTCGAGCCCCACGTTCCGGGCGTATGGAGCCCATGAAACCTAGTGCCACGGAGGCAGGGTGAGTTCGGGACCCCCTGAGGGTGGGGACTAGCGGGACAGGGCTGGGGTCCTGGCCTGCGCCCTCGAGTGGGGCGCCCCACGCATCCCTCGCGGAGACCCTGACCTGGTCTCTCCGGCACCCGAGGACCTGGCTGCCCAAGGCCACGGCCGCCGCCCGCAAGGGGCCCCCACGCGGCTCCTGGGGTTTGCTGCCCTTGCTAGGACCCCTGTGAGCCCCGGCCGCTTGTGTTGTGTAGAGGCCTGCAGGTCTGGTGCCTCCCCGCGTGCGCGGTGCTGGGGACCTTTGGCGCCGGGTTCTGTCCCCAGGGGCCCGGCCTCCTAGTTCCCTGGCGGTGGCCTCGAGGCCGGGCCAGTTCCTTGAGCTGGATGCTGTGTCGTCCCCGAGCAGCCCCCGCCCGGAGGAAACATCTGCATTTCTCCTCCCCTTGATCGCAGTTTCTTTCTTGGTTGAGGGAAGAGTTCTGTGAAGGAGAAGGTGGCTGGCTGCTTGCAAAAGGACAGCCGAAGTCAAAACACCCCCCACCCCCGCCAACCCCTTCCAGTACTGGGGATTGAGCCCAGGGCCTTCACTTCTGAAAGCCATCCCCAGGGCATCCCATTCCTTTTTTTTTTTTTTTTAATTTTGAAGCAGAGTTCCCCAGTCCCCTTTTATTCTTTATTTTGAAACGGGATTTGCAAAATTGCTGAGGCTGGGCTAGAACTTGCATTCTTCCTGTCAACTAACATTAATTCGCTTATGCATCATCTGGTAATATGTAGACAAAAATATTTTTAAGCTGGGGAGATAGCCCAGTGGCATAAACCCCTGCCTGGCAAGCACAGGGTCTTGAGTTCAATCCCCAGTACCCAAAAATAAATAAATTAATTGGGGCTGGAGAGATGGCTCAGTGGAATAAGTGCTTCCCTGGCAAATGCAATGGCCTGAGTTCAATCCATCAATATTTTTAAAATCTGTGGTCCAAACCAATCATTTTATTTTAGTGTTACATGGTACTGAAGTAAATGAAAATGGCATTTTCTGTTTTTCCTAGAAAGCAAGTTGTCCAGCGTGATAGTTTGAGATAGGAACATAGAGCAAAAGCAAGAAATTGGCAGTTTGAAACCACCATGTTGATGTTGAATGCCCAGTTTTTCTTTTGGAGGGAAAGTGGAACAGGTGTGGAAGTAGGCTAAAAAGAGTTAATTGATTTCCTGAATTCTGCCTAGCCAGTTCTAGCTGTATTCCTCTGTATGGTTAGTTAGTTACAGTCTTTGGTTGTACAATTTGATACTTTTTTTTAATCCAGATTTGTTTTGATGTAACCTATATTTTCAGTGTTTTCTCATGTCTAATGTAATCTGTTTCCATTCAACAACCTTGAGCAGCAGATTTTTGCTTTTTTTGGTTCTGAGTTTAGATTGGTCTCCTAAGTTGAGACACCAAATGTTTGTTGAATGAACAAATGAATGAGGAGCTTTAAGTGGGAAATGAGGCTGACTGGCAACCGCCTGTCTTTCCAGGTGTGCTGTAGGGCATGCCCACTGAGCGACCCTGAACAAGAGCTGCTGCATTGAGGTCATCAACTGTGCAGTTTCACCCTCCTGAGGGCTTCTGCAAACAAAATAGAACTAAAAACAAGGAGGTAAATCTTAACACAATCAGCTCTCAAGTGAAGACTTGAGAGTTTACTGAGTGGCTTTTCCAGTTTTGAATTTGACAGAGTTTTGTATGTGATCCCATTGTTTGAAAGATACATTTCCTTCTTATCACCACTGTATCTCACATGTTTTGATTTCCAGGGTATGCACACATCTGGTGTGCTGGTGTTAGGGAGCTACCTTCAGGGAATAATATTAGGGTTTAATGGGTAATGACATCATCTTGTGCTGGTTTACATATACAATTTCAGGTGTGGAAAATGAAATAACATATCATAGTAGACATATATTTGTATCAACAACTCCTCCTATGACTTATTTTTTTCTTTTTACTTTTTTGAAACAGGGTCTTACTATGTAGCCAAGGTTGGCCTTTAACTCATGGAAGTCTTTCAGTCCCAGAACTCGGGAAGTTGAGTCAGAAAGATTGCCTTGAGTTGGAGGCCAGCCTGGCTAGCTAGGGAGTTCAAGGTCAGTTTGAACTACACAGTGAGGCCCTGTCTCCAAAAAGAAAAAAAAATCTCATATACCTCTTCTTCATTGAAGAAACAGCTCAATTTAGAAAACCGTTAGATACTGGGGAGATAGCTCTGTAGAATAAGCACTTGCCTGGCAAGCGCACAGGGGCTGAGTACAATCCCCAGTTCTGCAAAAAAAAAAAAAAAAGAAAGAAAGAAAGAAAGAAAGAAAGAAAGAAAGAAAGAAAGAAAGAAATCCAAAAACCATTAGACTGAGAATAGATGTCATTGTATACAGTTGACTTCTATGAAATGTGTGAATTGTTCGTGGCCACATTAGATAAACCTTTGTAGGGCTTTTAGTGAATCACATTTCAGTGGAGGAACTTCTTTCAGGGTCCTTGAATTGGCTAGGTAGGTAGGGAAGTGAAGTAAATATAAACATTTTAGGGGCCAGGGAGATGGCTCAGTAGAATAAGCACTTCCCTGGCAAGCGCAAGGTCCTGAGTTCAATCCCTAGTTCTGCAAGAAAAAAAAAAACCTCAAACATTTAATTCTACACATTTATGTGAAGAAAGACTGCCATTTTTTGGGTCTAGTTACTCCTTCCTTAAATGAGAACTTTACCAAGGGACTTTTTTTTTTTTTTCTTGAGAGAGGATCTCACTGTACAATTCACACTGGCCTTGAGCTCACTTCATAGCCCAGGCTGGTCTTGAACTCACAGCGATCCTCCTGCTGCAGCCTCCTGTGTACTGGGACTACAAGCATGTGCCACCATGACTGGCAGGATTTTTTTTTGAGGCATCATTTTTTAAATTTATTTATTTATTTATTTATTTATTTATTTAGTACAGGCTCTGGCTACCCAGCTCAGACTAATGATGATCTTCCTGTCTCAGCCTCCCCAGCACTGGAATTACAAACATGCATAATGGTGCATGCCTACAAACTCTTGGTTTCGGTGGCTGGCCCTGCATGCCTGAGTTCTGGAGCTGGTACAGTATGAGGTACCAGGGATGGAGCCTGAGTCCTCGTGCTTGCCACACTGTTTCTTAGACTGCTGAGCTATTGCCCTAGCCCATGGAGGCACCATTTTTTACTTTTGGGGTGTTAGTATTAAAAAAATTTGTGCTTATAAACATGTGAATGAGTAATGGCCTTATAAGATATGTGTGTGTTATGTTTGTGTTTTCTAGTACTAGGTCTTTGTATTTTGCTACATCCCCAGCTGTCTTCCCCCACTTTATTTTTCATTTTGAGATGGGGTCTTGCTAAGTCGTTAAGTTGCTCAAACTTGCAGTCCTCCTGCCTCAGCCTCCCAGTATGTATCTGGCCATGATTGATTTTTAATTGCTGATTTTACTATTTTCCTGTGTGTTTCAAGATGCTAGCTGTCTTGACTCTAGTTTTGTGTCTATCCATTGTCCTAAACTTTGATAATATCACTTAGTACCTCCATGTCTGCTTGTGTGCCTTGTTTTTGTTTGTTTTGTTTAAATTGGGATTCTTTCAGAGGACCCTGTGTTGATTAAGTTATGCCAGGTAAGACCATCAAAAGTGCCTCTCTGCTTGATAACTCTCCTGTTTACTTCCTTGAATGAGTTTACAAGGGTGCTTGTTGGCCTTTTTTTTTTTTTTTAATGTATTTGGTTGTTACAAGGTCTAATTACACAGCTCGGACTCCCGGTGATCCTCCTGCTTTCAGCCTCCTCAGTGCTGGGATTATAGGCATGTGCCACTATGCCTGGCCTTTGGCTAGCTCAGCCCACCCTTGCCATGGTATGTGGTGCTGGGTATCAAACTACGGTCCCTGTGCTTGCCTAAGCAAGTGCTTTAGTCTCCTGAGCTATTTTGCCGGCCCCATTTTTAGCCTTACAATTCAAATTTTTAGCCTTACAATTCAAATTTAATTTAGTATGGCAGTGTTAGACCTGCTCTTCTTTTTTTCTCTCTCTTTTTTTTTATTCATTCATTATTTATTTTTGGGGTATGGGGAATTGAACTCTGGGCCTTATGCTTGTGAGGCAGGCACTTCTGCTGCTTAGCTAAATCCCCCATCATTAACCATTCTTTTTTTTTCCCCATAATTTTATTGATAAACAAATAGCAATGAGACAGTTGCAAATCAAATTGGTAGGACAGTTTCAATAATTAACACAGGGGACCTGCCCAGTAGCTCAGTTGTTTAAGTGCCTGCTTAAACAAAGCCCTCAAGCTCAAGCTTCTGGAGTTCCAACCCAGACAGTCACTGCAAACCAGAAATGCCCTAAAGGCATTTCGAGCCTCCAAAAAAAAAAAAAAAAAAAAAAAAAAAAAAAGATAGTTCAGGGGACTAAAGCACCTCCTTAGGCAAATGTAGGGACCAGAGTTCAATCCTCAGTACAACATGCAGCTCCAGCTCCACCCTGGACATTCTGAGCCGGCCACAGAGACTGGACATGGTTGTGCACACCCATAATCCCAGCACTGGGGAGGTTGAAACAGGAGAATCCCTATGATTCTGAGCTGCATAGTGAGACCCTGTATCAAATAAATAAGAAATAATAATAACAGTGGTAATTGCTTCCTTGATTTTCTTGTAATATGTTTATTATTTCAGGGTGTATTGCTTAATTTCCATGTGTTTGCCAAAATCTGTGTTTTCTTTCCCATTGATTTCTATCTTCACTACATTATGATCTAATAATATGCATGAGATAATTTTTATTCATTTTTGTTAAGTATGTTTTATGAGTTATTATGGTGATCTGTATTAGCGAAAGTTGCCCATCTTCCTGAGAAGAGCATGTGTTCTGTTCTTGGGTGGCACATTATAACTAACCATTAAATGTATTTCTTTAAATGTGTGGTTCAAATCTGAAGTTTCTTAGCTGAATTTTTTGACTTCATCTTGTTTTCTTTTTAATTTTTTTTCAAAATTTTATTGATAAACAGATAGCAATGAGACAGTTTCAAATCAAATCGGAAGTACAGATTCAACAAATAACACACTGCATA